GGGGGGGGGGATGGAGGAATGGGCGGGGCACAGCAGGCTGCCACAACAGATCAGAAACCAGAGTCCGAGAGCAAGGATGGCCTGGCGCTGAGAAGAGTGAGGAGGCTTCCCTGGCAGGTAGATCTTCCAGGTGGAATTACCCTCAATTTACAGATGAGGAAACTGAGGCTCAGAGAGGTGGCGTTAAACCCAGGGTCCTACGACTAGCGTCAGACAATGACCCAGGCTTTCAGCCCTCTTTCCACCGTACCCAGATGGCTCTCCCGGAAGAAAGACTAGAGATTTCTAGCACCCTGGCCCCAAGATCTTAAATTTAATTAGTGTATTTTATGCAGATTAGAGAACAGGCAAAGACCTAGAAAACCACGTGCCCTTCCTGAGAATTTTGCTGACGTAATCGCCACTTCTCTGAAGAGATTCTGGTGGACTCCGCAGTGGCACGTCCCTGGGAGTTGCTGGGAGAATCTGACACCGAGAATGCTTTTGAGACCCATTTCTAACTTGGTCGTCGGTTCCTGCATTGATTGCGTCAGTTCTGGGACTCTGTGGGCAGAGGCAGATGGCGGCAGCCTCCCGGCACCTGGGCAGATCAGGCACTTGTGGTACTGGGGGCGGAGGCGAAGAAGCCGTCCCCTGATGGCCTTCCTTTGGGAGAGGAGGCCTTCTCAGGGTCTCTGGGCCTGTCGTAGCTTGGACCGCACAGCCTTGGGGCCAAGAAGAGCATCCTGAGGACCTCGGTGCAGAAGCAAGAAGAATCTTACGAATTATCCACGTTTATGGGCAAAGCACTGTCCTCACAACAGCACTGCGAGGCGAGTACGGGAGTGTTTCGATCCCCGAGGACAGATGAAGAAGCAGGCTTAGTTAAAGAAGCGACGAGACGCCCAGGGCAAGAAAGCTGGCAAATACTGGAGACTGGGCTCCCACCCAGGACTTGGGACTTCAAGGTCAGGGCCCCTGCGCCCTAAACTGCAAGGCTGGGTACGCCGGCTAATCGGTGATTTCCAGCACAGGCTGCGTCACTTCTGATCAAATGTTAGAGCAACTGAAAATTGTTTCTCTTAGCACCGAAAACGTGTTTTCTTGCTTGCTTGGTAGAGTGAATGGCCCAGTGCAAGCCCGTGATAAATGTTGGTTGAGGGATTCGAATTTAATAGTGCAAAGCTCCCCAACTCTCGGGGGTAGAGAGTACGGGTGCCTCCCCCCCCACCCCGGAGAGATCAGGAGAGGCCCCCTCCCCACCTTGTTGCAGAGGTGGAGGTCTACGGGGTGGTGCGTTGCATTGATTGATGTAGTGTTTGGTTAGTTTTGCTGAACTTTTTTCTTTTTTCTTTGCTAAAGTAGTTTTGCAGTTTCATGTGTGATCATCTCTTTTATCGTAATACGTCATGGAAATAATTGTTTTATTCCATAAATTTAAAATAAAATTTAATAATAAAAGAGTATGACTGCTAAGTGACTAAGAACTGACTCTAAGTAAGGGAAGGTTCTATTTCCTTTTGAATTTAAGTTCTCTAAAACCAAAAATATCAGTACAAAGGAAAACCCAAAGAAAGCACCCTCAGGGACCACTAGTGGCTCTTAATTAGTTTTTCTTCTCTTGCCCTGTACCTTCTCTTCTGCCCACTCTCTTGCCAACACACACAATTCAGCAAGACTCCTCCTGACAATTCCTGTGTTCATGGCCATACCAAATCAATAAGAGAAAGAGCTCCCGATTCATTGGAGAGCTGCCTCCCAGAGCCCCGCCCACCGTTTGGATGAAACCGACAGGTGCCTTGTCTTTGGTGGGGCATTGCAGCCCCTCAAAATCGGTGTCTGTGCCCACAAGTTTCTCCTGTGTTTCCTGTGCATTGTCTTTCTCCTCTCCCAGTCCATATGCCCTGCTCCCTTCCTGACTCAGTTTACACCTCCTTTTTGCCTCACTGCCATTCCTTCATTTATCTTTATCCTGTTAAGTTTTCATTTTCAGTGGTTCTAGTCTTATTTGGATCTTGGGAACATAAAATCAAGTGTCTATATATGATTCACATTTGAGTAAAACACTGGTGCTATGTGTCTCCCCTACTCAAAAATCCTCAGTGGCTCCCTCTTGCCTCTAGGATAACAACAACAAGCTTTTGTTAAGTACCTACTACGTGCCAATCTGGATTCACACACGCACACACACACACACACACACAAACACACACACCTTTCTAGCTATATTTCATATAACTCCCTTTTCCTTATTCTCTGGTGAGTCAAATTTGCCTGCTAATTGTTTCCCATCCACAATTCCATCTCCAATCTCCACATAGCTGTAGAGTGCTCCCCAGGTCAGGAAAACCTGACCTCCTCCCTCACATTTGAGGGAATAGCTTCCTACCAAACACAACTCAGGTGTCTCCTCTTTCCTGAGCCCCAGAGTTGGGATTATGCCCTCTTGAAATGACCTCATATTATTCTGTGCGTACTTTCAATTTTTTCAGCTGTTTACATGTTGCATAATCCCAGTTGAATGTAAACTCCTATAGGGCAGGGGCTTCATTTTGCCTTTGTTTTCTCATATAGTTTCTCACACTGCCTGGCATATAGTTGGCAAGAACTTAATAAATGTTGCTGAGTTGAATTAAGTTGATTTGGTATATAATGAGTCATTGAAACTAGCATCTGCCCTATTGTCCTAACCAGGTAGAAGAGGATTGGACTTATGAGCAACAGAGAATACCAGTGGGGCATTAAAAATGCAATACCATGTTTGTTCTGTTTAAAATGGCTTTGTTGCTTTTAACATTGACTATGGCTGCGCTTAAGTCAAAATGATTTCTATTAAAACATAACCAAGGGTTGGGTTTTTTCGGTTGGATTTTTGTTTTTTTTTGATGAGCTGTGTCTTGTTTCTTTGCTAGTCTTCCGTTGTCATGGCAAACAAAGAAAGGAGCCTTGAAAACTTGGCTTTGTGATGGTCTGTCTGAGGCCTTTCTCCAATTGGGGAAAGCAGGATAGAGGCAGTGTGAGGCCAATAATAAGACAAAAATGCTGAATTGCCTCAGGCTGGTTCTCTTCCCAGCAGCCTCCCTTGGTCTGTTTTCTCTGGGTCTCACCCCCCCCCCCCTTTTTGAGCCAGCACCTTCTGCAATCAAATGCTGGGCATGTCTTCCCTCACGCTAGCCCTCCCCCATTACAATTATAATGATGTTCAGTTAGTCTAGAAGGGACTTTGGGCCACTTAATCTAATAGAGTTTGAGTCACAATGTTATTACAGAGTGACTGCTGTCTCATGGCTACAAATTAGACTGGAAGACGTTGCTTTTACCCAGCAGTGTGCCATTGGATTTCCTTCTTGATACCACAGGGCTGCTCTGAGACAGACATGCCCATGGATGCTAAGCTCAGACAGGCAGCCTGGCATTTAAGAAATAAGTTGGCACTTTCAATGATCCTGAGCTGCTCCTAGAAAGAAAAGCCTTGCTTTCCCCCAAGGCTCTGGGGCTGCCCATCTTTGTACACCAAGGCCTCTGAAGGAACCAGATCACTGGTGACCCCCATCACAGTAGGGAGGGGTATGTGCCAAGTGTGATTAGGAGCATGTTCTCACCAGTCACTAGCATTTGAGAAGTGCCAGGAGAAACCATCCTGGTGAAAGGAGAGGGTACAGCTAGGAAGGGAAAGTGAGGGATGAGGCCAAGCCAGCTGTTGCAATGGTACTCAAGGAATGGACAAAGACAAGATATGTGTGTGGGGAGGGGAGCTGTGCTTTTCTGAATGAGGTGAAGGTGGCTGTGATCTATAGGAGGAAGGATCCAAGTTAATGGACTTGGGGCTGGAAGAAGAAGGGTACAGAGTGAACCCAACAGAATTAAACAAAATAATAACAACCAACATCGTAAAAATGGTGCTTTGAGGTCTACAAAGCACTGTGTAGTTATTATCACATGTGTGCTTCCCAAGGACCCTGTGAGGCAAGTTCCACAGGTGTGTTTCTCATGCATAAAGCAACCACAAATTGGAAATTCCAAGGTGCATCTTCAAAGGAAAGCTCTGAATATTTCTAGCACTCAAACAATTCCAGTTTTTACAGCAGTATAATATATATGTATATACACACACACATATATGTATATGTATGTATATGCATATATATCCTCAATTATATGATTCCTATCTTAGCTCCAGGACTATAAGTTTATTTTCTTCATACATGGTATGTA